CACGGGCAGCGCGCGGCGTGGGACGGACGCGAGCGGGGCCGTGCAGGGAGCACCCCGGGCATCACCGGTTCCCGCGCGGCCCCCGGGCCTCGCCGTGCTCACCCCCGGCCCGAGCCCCCGCCGGGGCGGGCAGCATAGCCCCCCTCCGCAGACCCGGCCCCCCCCAGACATGGCCCAGGCGCCCAGCACCTGCGGCGGCAGCGGCGGGGGGGGGTTGGAGCGGTGCCCACCAGCCCTCCCGCAGCAGATGTGGTGGCAGTTTGTAATCAAGCCACAGATTAAGGCCTGCGGGTTTCGGGGTCGCCCGTCTCTCCAGTGGTGCCGAAGACAGGATTTAGCCTGTGCCGAAGATGGGATTTAGCCTGTGTCTGTTCCTAAACATCCCCAGACATCCACGGAGGGGACGGGGGGGCTGGCAGACACGTGGCCTACATACGCTGCCTGCCTCCCAGACCCCGTGATGCCCTGTGTGTGTCCCCCAGCTCTGCAGGGAGTCCCCCTCTCCCAGGAGCCCTGTGCAGCACCCCAAGCCCAGGCCCAAGGGATAGGGATACACCAGGGGCCACTGGGTCCAAGCAGGGTCCTGGTGCTGGGCAGGAGCCTGGCCTGGCTGTGCTCAGCACGGGCAGCACCACACCGCTGGCATGAGGGCACGGCACCAGGCCTGGCAGCATTGTGCCGGGCACCTGGCTGCCGCCGGGCAGGGCAGAGCGGCTGTCACCTGCGGGCAGTCAGTGCTGGGGCCGCTTCCTGAGCAGGCAGAGCTGAGGCCGGGGCTGGCGGGCAAAAGAGAGAACAGAAAGCCCCAGGTGTGGCAGGGCTGCAGGGCAGCCGACGGCACACCAGGAGTTCTGCTACCAGGAGCTGGAGCTGTGTGCCAGGGCCATGGGCGCCAGCCTTCCTGTCCCCCAGACCCTCATAGCACGTGCAGGTCCATCCCCAGGAGAGGCACAGCCCCACCTGGCCTTATCCTGGCACTCCAGAGGTGCTGCCTGCTCCAGCCACAGCCCCATGTCCCGTCCCTGTGCTGGGTCAGGTCTGTGACAGCCCCAGCAGGGGCACGCAGGGTCCCTGCTGTGCACCCATAGCTGGCCGTAGGACCAGCATTTGCCCCAGGACCCTCCACCTTCCCCTTCCCCCAGGATGCAGGATGGCCCCCCCATGCCAGCACAGAGTGGAGGTCTGCAGCCAGCGTCCTTGTGCTGCAGGAAGAGCAGGGGAAGGGGAGACACCCTCCAGCAAAGAGCCCTGGGGACACCCCGGGGCCCAAGGGCCAGGCTGCCTCTGCCCAGCTGCTCTCCAGCCAGGCTGCAGCAGTTCCATGGTCCCGCCACGCCACCAGTGCTGACAGTGAGCTCCCAGGGCTGGCAGGGATCCTGCCTGCTCCCCACGCCTGGCTGGAGGCAGCAGGAGGGCCGAGGGCAGAGCTGGGATAAGCCACAGCAAAGACGGCTGTAGCAGGGAGAAAGGGGGATTGAGGGATTACCGCAGCAAACAGCCTAAAACCAATTAAAGCCGGGGATCAATTTGCTCCCCCCTGAGGAGAGGAAAGTGGGGCCCCTGCCCCACAGAAACTAATCTGCCTCTTTATGAGGAGTTGGAAATTTTCTTGTCAACAACCAGCAACACGCCTGCCCAGCGCCACAGGGGTGCAGGGGCACGGAGGCATGGGGTTGTGGGGGTGCAGAGGCACAGGGGTGCAGTGCAGGGCTGGGACCCCTGAGTGAGGGGGCACCCTGCACCAGCAACCGCCCCCGTTCCTGGAACCACCACACTTCCCATCAGGACTGTTCCTGGACCGGACGCGGCTCTGCTGGGCCTGCTGGACCAGTGTCCTGCCTGTGGCCCTGCTCAGCGATGGGCCACGCTCTGCTCCTTGGCCTTCTTGCCTCCAGTCTCCCCTCTTCCTCTGCAGAAGCAGTCCCCGTGGGGCAGGAGCTGCAAACAGCCCCAGGGCGGGCTGGGGTCTCCTGCATGTGCTGGGTGCCCTTAGCCAGACCCCGCTCCCCCCAGCCGGGCACTCCCGGGCTTGTCCCCCAGCCCTGCATGACAGGGCCTGAGCAGAGCTGCTATTTCTGTCCCTGGCGTGCAGATGCTAGCCACAAAGTAAAACATGCAGGACAGGCTTCGGAGTGGGGTCGCATCTGCCTCCTCGCCTTCTTCCCCTGGGGCTGGGCTTGTGCTCTGCACTGCTCTCAGTATCAGGAGAGGCACGTGGTCAAACCACAGGTTGCAAAGCGCTGAGACGCCAGCAGCTCCAGACCCACTGGCAAGGGGGAAAGGTCCCACCACGCAATGCAGGAGCAGGTGAGGGGCCGCTGGGTGAGGGGTTCGCTGGAGGGTCAGGCAGGGACACCCCCCCCGCTGGCTTTTCTTGTTGCTTTTAAATGGTTCTGTGAGCTGTGTGGGTTTGGGCTGAAAGACAAAGCCCCAGAGAACGCAGGGCAGCACCTGGTGCTCCAGGTCCCTGGGGCCCGGAGCAGGGAAGGGGCTGGGGGAGCTCATGGGAAGTCAGCCTGCTCTGGCACTGGGTTCAGATCCCACCTGCATCCCCGAAGTGGGTGGGGGGATTGGACCCAGCCGCCTGGGCTCGCTGACAGGAGCCAGAGGGGAACTGCTGTCGTGAGGCTGCTCTGAGTGAGAGCCATGCTGGATCCTGACCTCTGTGGCAATGGGGTCCTGGCTGTTCACTGCCAGGGTGCAGAACTGTCCCTCCACCCCAGAGCAGGGCTGAGAGACCAGGAGCTGGGAGCACTGTACACAGCTGCCTGCGACCTGTGCAAGGCAATGGGATGCCCTGGGACCTCCCTGACTGGGAACAGGACCATGCAGTGTGGGGCTGTGCTGGCACTAGGTCCCCAGGGTGGTGCATGGGGGGGGTGGGTGCTTTGGACACGTCCCCAAGGGTGTGCGTGGGGACCTGCCCAAAGTACCCACCTGCAGATGCCGGCATTGAACCCTGAGGCCTGGCTGCACAGGGCAACTGGGGCCATGGGCTGGGTGCTGAGCCCCAGGGGACATCAGGAGCAGGTCCCCCACAGTGGGTGCACAGTTAGTTTGTGGGACATGGTGCTGTGCTGGGGCCGCCATGGCTGGGGTCACGTCTCCCCACCAGTTCTGTGCCGCAGGCGGCTGCTCGGGAAGTGTGTGGTCGCTCTCACAATGACTGAGTGCGGTGAACCTCCCACTGCCTCGGAGTGGGTGTGAGACAGAAACCACCCCGAGTGTGGGGTCCGGGGCTGTGGCACGCCCGGGGCTCCCCGCAGCAGGGCTGGGTGGAGGAGGAATGCCCTGGGTGCGGTGCACTGTACGTTGCGGCCAGGCCGATGCCTCCGAGCATCCCTCACTCAGCCTCCCTCTGTGCAGGCGACCCCCAGCCCCGTCTCAATGGAGCTGACCGCCACCACTGACTTCTACCCCTGGGAGGATGGGTACTCATGGGAGGACGGCATGCTGCCCGAGCTCTGTGAGAAGCAGGCAGTGCAGGGCTTCGCCCGCACCTACCAGCCTGCCGTCTACCTGCTGCTCTCACTGCTGGGCACGGTGGGGAATGGGCTGGTGCTGCTCACGCACACCCGCTACCGCCAGGCACACAGCATCACCGACGTCTGCCTCCTGCACCTTGCCCTGTCTGACCTCCTGCTGCTCCTGACGCTGCCCTTCGCCGTCACCGACACGCTGCAGGGCTGGTCCACAGGCACGGCCACCTGCAAGGCGCTGCAGGGCCTCTACGCCCTCAACTTCTACAGCGGCTTCCTCTTCCTCACCTGCATCAGCGTGGACCGCTACGTGGCCATCGTGCGGGTGCCGGCTGCCTGCCGCCTGCGCCCACGGGCTCGCCGCCACGGTTGGCTGACAGTGGGGCTGGCCTGGCTGCTGGCCATGCTGCTGGCGCTGCCCCAGTTCATCTACAGCCAAGCGGAGCAGCACCAGGACCTCCGGATCTGTCACGTCGTCTTCCCCCGCGCGGTCTCGCGGGCGGCCCGGGGGGCCACCAACCTGGTGCAGGTCGTGCTGGGCTTCGCGGTGCCCTTCCTGGTGATGGCGAGCTGCTACGCGGCCATAGCCCGAACTCTGCTGGCGGCCCGTGGCGCCCAGCCCCACCGGGCACTACGGGTGCTGCTGGCCCTCGTGCTGGTGTTTGTGGCCCTGCAGCTGCCCCACAGCCTGATGGTGCTGCTGGACGCGGCCGAGCTGCTGGCCAGCTGGGAGGTGAGCTGTGCCCAGAGCCGCCGCAAGGACCTGGCACTGCTGGTCACCGGCGGGCTGGCGTACCTGCGCTGCTGCCTCAACCCCCTGCTCTACGCCTTCCTGGGCCAGCGCTTCCGTCAGGAGCTGTGGCTCCTGGCCAGTGATGCCAGGTGCGTGGGGCCCCTTGAGCCACGCTGCCCCAGCTGCCCCAGTCCCCGCCAGCGGACATCACTCTCCACCTGCCAGGACGTGGTGTAGGGACACGGCGCCCGTGGCCGGGGCAGGATCGGCCCCCCGGGGAGAGCCTCCTCCGTGCACGGACCTGCCCCGGGCCCCGGCAGAGCGGCCTGGCAGGGGCAGCACCGGACAACCCGCACGGTGCCCGCACATGCGTGGGCAGAGTGAGCCCCGCAGCGCCCGCGCGCACTGCGAGCGCCTCTGCTGCCCCGCGAACGGCCGGGCCGGCGGCACCGTGCAATGTCACGCGTGCTCCGGGGGGACCATGCAATGTCACGCGTGCTGCGGGGGGCCGTGCAATGTCACGCGTGATCTGGGGGGGGCGGTGCGGTGCCGGTGAGCGCGGCACGGTGGGTGCACGCAGCGGGGCCCGGGCAGCTGGTTCCCACCCTCACAATAAACCCCGGTTGAGCCCCGCTGGGCGAGCGCCGTCTCCGTGCGGGCCGGGGCTGCCGGGGGGGGGGTTTGCT